GCAAAAGCAAACGCAGACGCAAAAGCAGAAGCCGAAAGCAAACAGAAACAGAAATAGAAGCTTAAGCAGAGGCAGAAACAGAAGCAGAAGCAGAAACATAAATGAAGCAGAAGCAGAAATGGAATCAGAAGCAGAAACAGAAGCAAAAGCAAACGCAGACGCAAAAGCAGAAGCCGAAAGCAAACAGAAACAGAAATAGAAGCTTAAGCAGAAACAGAAACAGATACTGAAGCAGAAGCATTAACAGAAACAGAAGCAGACGCAGACGCAGACGCAGAAGTAGAAGCAGAACGACGAGTCGGCCAATAAAAATGTTCCACTACAACCAATCGACAGTTGGTCAAAAGCAATCGCCAACCGTCTTCTTGTGGGAGCGAACTGGCAATCTCTTCGGCCAGCAATTTTTCCTCAAAAGCTTTACACAAACTTCGTGTCTCGATTGCTCTTCTCAGACCATCTGGTCGTGGCAATTTTCATCAAGTCATTCCAAGGCCCATCTCATCGGAGGACAGCGCAACATTCCTGCTCTTCGTCAGTTCCCAACTGAAACCATTAAATTCTGGTTCGTCTCAAACGTGATGATGAGTATAGGCAGTGGTGCCAGGAAGATGGGCAAGAACTGATTTTGCCTGATTGGTAGACTTGGAGAGTTGAGTATGCAAATGAAAAACAGGTTTTAATGGATCTCCCCAACCAACATTTGATATGGTTTATAAAGTGCCTCATCCACAGTTTCCCAGATCGAGCTCCCCATTGGAAGACGAGCAAAAGTCATGTCGACCTTCAGGTGGACTCACTCCACTCCACATGACGAACATCATCAGAACTGCAACTCATTCTTACCAAAGCCTCGAGTTACCTCAAAGTCAAGAAGACGCTGTTGTGCTGTAGACAGAATGAAGACGATTCATCAAATCATGCAAACCGGTTACATTTTCAGTCTATTCTCATTGAACAATTAAGATCCTGCCTTGCCTGACTCATTTGGCCTTGATTATCGTGAACTCTTGTCACGATGTGTTCTGCATGTGAAGAAAAGTTGGACTTCGAGGACTATCTTGTAGCATAATTGTTGAGCTTACTTCCATTTCGAGTGAAAGTGTCGCGTGAAGAGATTCGAAGTTCGGTTCCATCGGAAGACGACGCTGAAGAATGGCTTTACTGGAGCATTCTTGTTGACGCCATTTTCGAGGTGATCTCTTTTGCTTTCGGTGCAAAGGTGCTAAGCTGTCGTCCGTCGCATGACGAACACCATCAGAACAAGATGTATCATCGTCACGTCAACAAAACTCATCAACTCTTTCAACTGCTGTAGATACCTCCTTCGCAACCAACTTATAAGGCCTCACACCGACATGAAGTTTCGCTCAGCCCTGCCTCGCAAAAGACTTTCCCTTTCAGGTTATACTCCAGTTGCGACCTCGTCTTGGTCCCGTGAGGATGCTGATCAGCCGCAGGGCAGATGTGAATTTAAATCGCACCTATTGTTGGATAATTAGTATATACTACTCTTTTAGCTTCCAGTAATATTGACCAAGTTACTTATATTCCTTTTCGTAAGTGGAACTACCGGTACTTCATCACCTTGCATTTCCACTCAATTTGCCACCGCCTTGTTTCACAAAACATGTCTTCATCTAATAATATTGTGAGAAAATGGAACTATGAGTCTTTCAGCAAAATGTGCTGGGATTCTCGAATGTCTACTTGACAAAATGAGCATAAGTAACTATGCCAATTGTTCTTCATCACCTCAAACGAAATAGTGTCAACACAATTCTTACTCATATTAATCGTGGGTATGCCTAAATATTGCAATATTTCCATTATCGGCTTATTAAAGCATGGGCTCGAGTCGCTCCTTTTCCATTTCATCCTCTCACCGACCTGTACGCCGCCTTCACAACGAACGCCTGACAACGCTCCTTCAAGCATCCCACTTGGCCCCCTCCCCCAGTGGGTGCCCAACTGTCACACAGTCCTCTAGGCTCACTAGTTTGCCATACATTAACAGGTTTCGGTAAACAACAGACACATGCACGTGCCAGTAAGTTCGGAACACTACTGACGAGTTGTAAGTAGTAGGTTGGTTGCAGTTATCAGAAAGTTGACCGTCGTCGACATACGTCATAAAATCACACGAACCGGCATAAGCTGATAGCAAGCATACTCCTGATAGCTACGTCTAACACACACACACTCTCTCGCTGTCTCTTATGAGATGTTTGGTTCTTTTTATTGCTCTCTCTCTCTCTCTCTTCTTCTCCTTTTACCCCAGTTTCAAGGGGGTCACATATGTACCCAACACACAAAAGTGGGGCCAGACGATATAAGCTGCAGCCCACTTTCGGGAGTAAACAAGCGTTAAGTTTGTGTGTTGCCGATGCAAGCGGAATGG